GTTGAAAAACTAGAGTTGTGATTTTTATTAAAACCTTATTGTTTGGAATCATTTTTTTAATATTCTTGTTGTACATAGTTTTCTTTGCTGAAGTTATTATTTGGATTTCTTTTTATCGTTTCAGATTGCAGAAAAACATTGCAAAATAAACTTTTATAAATAATTTTGAGGATTGCAAGAATTTTCGGCACGGGCTTAAACTGACCTGATTAACCTCTATAAAAAGCCTTATTTCTTCAATTAGTTGTTATATTCCGTAGTGCTGAGAAGGACGCTATAACTATAATAGGATCTAAATTCATACTACTTAGCATTACGGAACGTAGCAACTAATTACATAAATAAGACTTTTTTTTATAGGGGTTAACGAGATCAATTTAAGTCCGAGTCAAAATTCCAACCTCTCGATTTTGATGACCTAATTCTCAGCTGATGCAATACAATTGTTAAGACTATTATACACAATAAAAAACATTGTTCACGAAATTTCTGCAGGACTAAAATGTGAAACACGATGTAGCTGCTGTTGTTAATCACAGGAAGACTGTTTTGTTCAATCTATTTTGAGACACATTTCTTCACTATCCTTTTAGTTAATTCGCCAATAATGTTATAAGTAGTTCATATATTATAACGAGACATTATTGATATACAGTCTTTGATCCGTATATCAATAACGTCTGTCATTGTCTTTGAGAAGCGCAAATTTCTATCCCATATACTTCAGTATTTATTTCAGATCATGTTTCTACAAAATAGATTAATTACTATCGATCGAACTCTTTTATTTCCTTATATTTTATTGAATGTAATTGAATGATTTTGATATCTTACTCGATTTTTATCATCTAATTCGGCTTGTAATTTACTGATTGTATCCACATCTGGTTCAGCAAGTACTTCAACAAATGATTTATCTTCATCCTTTTAAAGTAATGATCAAAGAATATGTAAGAATTGTATATAAGAGACAAAAAAAAACAGACTGTTTGTATTGCTTGTGTTTCATGATCAATTAATAAACGTTTATCTTGTTGTTCAATAACGGTGTCTCGTTCAATAAGAGCTTTTCTTAAATTTTGTAATTCAATATCATATCGTTCATTTTCAAATTTTTGTTTATCAAGTTGTTTTTGAAGATCATCATTAGGCTTTAAATTACATACATCAGTTGATTTTATAAGTAAATCATCTCTTTCTAACAGAAAAAGAAAATTTCATATTCAAAAAAAAAAAAAGAAAGAATATATAAAAGATTATTGATTATTAACAAACCTGCTTCAACATCACTTAATTGTGTTCGTAAGGATTTTATAGTTAATTTAAGATTTTCATTGTCTGAACGAAGAGCATCCATCTGTTTTTGTAAATAAGGCATCTTAAAGAAAAAAACAAATAAATAAATTCTATGATGAAAATAATCAAATGAATTTACTTTAATAGTATTGCCACTTGTATTTTTCTCTTTTAAATTTCTAAAAAAAAAATTTTATTATGAAATAAAATTTTAATTAAGAAAACATACTGTAAATCTATAAATTCACTTCTAAGTATTGTCATTTCATTTTGTAAATGAACTGTTTCTTGTATTAATCGTTCAATAGTATCATCTTTTTCTTTAAGCATTTCTTCTTTAGAATCGATCTGTAATAAAATAAACATAAGTTTTTTTTTTGTTAACACTCAAGAATTAACTTTACCCATGTTTTAAGAATTCGTACATAATTCTCAATAGATACTGGTTCTAATAAACAAAAAAATGTTGCTCTAAATAAGAAATCATCATGTTCATACCTTCGATATATGGAGAAAAAATATCCGATAAAGATTTTACCAATTCTTCTTTGTTCTCTAACTGAAAATACATCAATAAAATCAATAGAAAAAAAAAATTATTGGATAAAATTTCGAACTTCATTGGAAATTGAAGGTTTCACTTGGTTTCTTAACAATTGTTGTATATTTGAATCAGTTCGTCCTTTAAAATAAAATTAAAAAAAAAATCATTGAATAAAAAAAAAATTATCCTATCACTTACGATGACTACGTGTAGACGACGGATTTTCAATATCAAAACTGTTCTTATTATCTTTACTTAAATCTTCATTTATTTCATCGGAATTATTTTCCGGTAAAATACTCGGATTATTACTTTTTTCACGAACTTTCTTGATTAACGGTTTAAACATTATTACAGATTTCTTGATAAGGAATAATTATTCATACTGTACATGAAAAAGAATAATAATATCGTTTTACGTTCACTGCGAAAACAAATAACAAAACAAATGAGACAAGCGCTTGAATAAAAAAGAAGTTAAATATTTCTTTCGTTACATTCACCATCCAGTTAAAAGAACTAATCAATCCTTTAGCGGACTTTCAGTTGAAAAGAGGTCACTAAGTGACGATATTACATATATTGATGTTGACATTATACAACCCCTCCCCTTTTCCGATATTAAAATCACAATTTTTTTTTAGTCGCTAGTGTTTAATCGCTAATGTAGCTTCGAAATGTTCTCTGTCAAATGTCATATAACTGAGAGCTCTTTGCTGTTAGTTAGCGCTTTTATTAAATCCAACTCTCGAAACTCCGAGCAGGAAAACTCGAGCTGCGATTATTCTTTGTATGCAAAATTCTTCTAATGATAATGATTATTTCTTATTCCAAATGGCATGAGAATATGGGTCATGGTCGTCTAACATCGCCAGTTTTTGATGTGAGGCGATTGTTCCTTCGTTTCGAACTATTTTTCGATTTTTCTCAGCAGAAAACGTTCAAATAAGAGTCCTCTAATTGGACTTCAGCATACGTTTTGTGACTATGGTCGCCTCAATTACCTTTGAAATGCCTCGATTTATCAAAATCCTAGATCTACTACTGATGATATGATTATATTTATTTATCTTTTCAATTAAAATGTTATCCAGTAGAGTCCACTTCAAAACATTTAAGAAGGAAAAAAAAGCATTATTTGATAGAATGAGGTTTTTTTTTATTAAACTATTGCTAACACAGATATCAACAGAAAAAAAAACATTCAATTGAATTGCATTCGTTGTTTCTTTTTATTTAAACTATTTAATAAGAATAATGTCGATGAATATTCTCTACATAGTGATTATATTTTTCATGGATTAAAGAAAGTATTTATGTAGCTTTTTTTTTTCTATTCCTTCCTTTCGCTTTGCTTTTTTCATTGAAATAACAAAATTAACATTTGAAGATCGAATTTTTTTTTGTCAAAGGAGAAAGAACAAGGAACATATATTACTATTTCGAATCTAATAAAGTTAAAATGTCGTTCAAGGCAAACACATCAATTACGTGGAATAAATATGGATTGCAATTACGATGGCCTTATATTTGGATAATTATACTTGGATTGATACTAATATTCCTTTGTTTAAGCATAGCTGGTATGGAAATCGGTCATACAATTTTCGATTTACGTCGATCAACAGCCTTTGGAGGTTTTATTGTTTTTATTCCTCTAATGATCTGTGCTATTTTCGTTTTGATTACTGGTAAGGTTAAGTATTTACCTTCACAAATAAATGCCAAAAGAAAGTAATCAAAAATAAATAATAAAACAACTTTATATTTTTTGTCACTAATCAACTAGGAAACCTTGTTAGAATGATAATTATTGAAACCTAAGTTTAATGAAGTCAAAATTGTCATTGAGAAAAAACTCTAAAAGTTCTAATATTTATCTTTACCAATAGAGGGCGTCTGGAAAGTAGCTATCTATTTTAAATTCTTTTTTTTCTCTTTAATAAGAATAGATCTTGTGTTGTTACTTTTGTTTATTAATTTTGAAGCATGCTTCATCGGGTTTTGTTTTACATAAGAAAGAATGCTAATGAATTGACTATGTAAGATCAAACGCAAATTTCATTTGAAGAATGCTTGAAAAAATGACTTCTTATTTTTTATCATTACTTTTATACAAAGTAAATATGGTATAAAAATTTTTTCATGGTTTTGAAATGCAATACTGTCATGGCTATTTTTGAGACATTATCGGGTAAACAAATTACACACACCTCACAATAGAAAAATATTATTACAATATATTCTATGTATAAAAGTAATAAATGATGGAAAATAAGAAGCTATTTTTTCAAACATTCTTCAAATGAAATTAGCGTTTGATCTTACATAGTCAATTCATTAACATTCTTATGTAAAACGAAACCCCATGAAACATACTTCAAAAATAATAAATAAAAGTAACACAAGATCTATTCTTATTAAAGAGAAAAAACGAATTTAAAATAGACACCTGCTTTCCAGACACCCTGTAGGTAGTGCAAACGTTTCTCATTAACTTTATTTCTTCTTCAGCTTAGTATAGAAGTATTGAAGAACAGAAATATTTTTTTTTTGAAAGGTAACCCATGATATCTGTTACAAATGTTGTTTTGGAAGTGTTTCAGTTAAACATAGTAGAATTGTCTAAAGTCTCAAAAATTTCTAACAAGATGGACCGTTGACATGCTTTAAGAGAAATATTCTAACACAGTTTTGTAGAGAATGATCACGGCTTTCTAATGGATATGATCATAATTGACAATATTTTTTAAAATCTTCTATAAATTCAACAATTTTGACACTAAAATCAATTAAAAGATTTTATTCATTGCAAAAAAAGATGGAATATACTAAAACGCTAATATACTATTTGATATATTTGCAATCGAGTTTTTTCATATGAAAGTTATTAATCGTTAAAAAATTCGATTATTTTCAAATTATTGTAAAAGTAATTAAGTGAACTTTATGTACAATACGTTAGTAAGGAAAGTTGAATGTGTATGCTGATATATTTCTTGAAATTGCACAGAAATGTTTTTACATTATAAAAGTCGAGAAGAAATATTTCGAAGGATAATTGAAAAGAACTAAAAACTAAAAGAGAAAAGTCTTCATCTTTTTAGCATGCAAGACACGTTTAATTATTCTTCGTGTTACTGTAATATTATGTTGTATCATGATTATATTATGTATGATCTTAATAGCTTATGATATTCTTGTTCTTATTGATCCAACTCGGTGTTTCTTTTTCAATTGTAATGATGCTTCAGTTGATATATCTAATTCAACACATAATATAATCGTAACTGGCTGGCCACTTTATATAACATGGCCCGGCTATTTTCAAACAAATATGAATGCAAAACGTATATTTCAAAGTATTCAAATACTTTGTGCTGGCTTATTTATTTTATTTGCATCTTTATATATATTAACGTATATTATTTATAGACATATTAGATTAAATCAACAACTTATTTCTAACACTGATCGTCGTATGTTTTCAACAAATGAAACAAAAAGAGTATTACCAACAAATGAAACAAATAGAGTTTTACCAACAAATGAAACAAATAGAGTATTACCAACAAAATATTCCAATAATTTATCTCAATCATATCCACAATATAATCCTCATCATCAAGTTACAACATATACGATTGAAGGTCAACCATACACATCAGCACAATCTCATTATTCATCAGTAGCAGTACGACCTGCTACAACGACAACAACACCAAGAAAAACAGAAACCAAACCATTTGTAGGACCAAACGTTAGTTCAGTTAACTATGACCAAGTATGTGCACGTTGTAATCAAGAACCTCAAATGATATTAACAACAAATTATGAACGAAAAAATTTCTTTCCATACTTATGCATCAATTGTAATAATGAAATTGTAAATCATCGTCGAAAACCACCATTCGTTCAATCAAAATATAGACCCATATGGAGACCTTAATTATTTTATATATACATATCTTATTTTTATA